AGGGTTGCATTTTTGCTACACAAAGACATTAATTTTCTTCATAAAGACACTAAAATAAAACCTGCCAATCGCAAAGGATTAATATGGAAGTGGCAACACGGCGCTCATTTCAATTGAGAGGATCTTGATTGTATTTCAGACGGATAAGATCAGTTTTGAAAAAATGTTTTCATGCAAATATACAGTATAAGAGCTTTCATGTGTGTGTTTGCGTGTGCAGGGTAAACAGTAGAAGAAACTCCATTACATAGTTCAATATTAGTAAAAAAGTTTGGCCAGTTTCTGATCAAATCTGTAGACTTTTATCTTTTTATGTATAAATCTATCAGTTAGATTTAGCTTGTTTAAATAGTTGGATGTTTTTTTTTATAAAACATCTGTTATCAGCCTTTCAGCAGTGATAATTTGGTTCAGTTAAACCCTGAGAGACCGAAGAGGTGCCCAACTAACCCATAACATTTCCGATCTAACTCTTATGCATCATCCATACTGTCCAGCCCATCGATATTTTAAGATAACTCAACAGCACTAGAGAAGAAACAAGGATGCAGAATAGGACATTGTAATAAGTATTTTATTGCATTTTATAATGCCATTGTCAATAATTAGTACAGATTACATGCAACTAGACCTACTGTACAGTTTTTTATTGTCTGCATGGACAGACACAAGAAGATTCAGGTTACAAATACACAGATATATGTGTGTGTTTTTATACAGCATGAAGGAAAGGGCAGTGACTGGCATTACATGGCTACCCGGGGTGGAGGGTCAGAGGTCTGGGCTCCACTGTCTGTCTAAAGCCACCATCCAGTCCCTGTTCCCACCTCTTCCTCGGGTCACACTTTCAAATAACAAGAAACATTAAAAAAAATAAAACAAATAAAACAAAAACAAAGGATAAAGAGAGGTAAACAGGTAAACAGAACTAAGAAACAATACAAAGAGTCACTGCTGAAAATGTACACACATTCCTAAGGTTTAACCAGAGGAGAGCTGAAGTGGTAGTTCCATCAGATTCTGGCTGTCTACTTGATAATACCGTCAGGCAAATGCTCCACTTTGAAAGTCCCTTCCCCTTCGTATGACACCTCAGAACTGTCCAATCACACATTACGATTTGATCTCCCCATGTCCTTTGAGCTAGTCACCAGTCAACCGGATGTGGGCTGCTCCTACAACACCATTACGTGGATGTATGCGAGATAACAGCTATCAGTAAAGGTGATCAGTGAAGTCGATGGAGAGTTTTGGAAGTAGCTTGGTCTTTGTTTGGTTAAAGTTGTGGCATTGGTTTGGTTACAGTTTGGTTAGAGTTCAAGAGTTTGGACTAAGCAATGTTTTGCTTGCAATGCCTTTGGTAGTCAGAGGATGAGCTGCATCTCTGAGAGTCATTCCACATTTTGGTATTGAGACTGCGCAAGAGGACGAGTATCAAAAATGCAACAGTGTCAGTCTTTGATCTGCCTTTGTGGGACTGGGAGATGAGGTTTCTGGCTGGTCACCACCTGCCAGGTGTTTGACTCAGTGACACCCCCACAGCACCTGCAGATGATTGACAGCTCTGCGGGTCGGAGTTCAACACAGGAATGACAGGGGTCAGGGGTCAGAGGGAGGGGGTCAAGGGGAGTAGGGACACATATTGGCACCTGAAAGGACCAACAGCAATACCTTTCTAGAGCTCCGCAGTTTTTAAAGCAAGAGAGGGGCTACATATTCGTAAATTTTTTTTCCTCTTTCTCTTTTTCTTTTCAGAGGTTTTGGTCCTGTCTTTGCGGAAAAAAAGTCCTTCTGAGGTATCAATACATAATGAAGAAACTTTTTAGTTTGTTTTCCATATGTTGTTTTTTTTTCTTTCCTTAAAAATGCATAAATGCAGTACAGAGACAAAAAAGTATCAAAATAGACCTAGCTAAGATAAATATACAAACAGGTGTTACCTAAACCACTGATCTAACTTTAGTTCTTTTCATTTTTTTCTTTTTTTTAAAGAGATAATACATTTTTAAAAAAAAATCAGCGTCCCAGACGTTTTATGAAGAACCGAAAACAAACAAACCAAAAAAACATTGGAAAAAACCCCAAACTATTAAACCAAGATACCTGCAGCACTTAATATGATAAATACATATACTTCTGCATTAGCAGTACAGTATAGGAATCAGAGCTGAAAGCTTTACAATAGCTAAACAGGTTCAGGAAAAGAAAAAGAAAAGAGAAAGAAATCCCAACAGAGAAAAATCAAAGGACAAAATGGGAAAGAATGCCCTGGAGAGATAAGCCAAGCATCAATATACAAGAATACATCATGTTATGCCAAGGTGGAGAAAGAACAGAAGTGTTACATGGTGACCTGTGAACAATCTACATCTTTATAAAACAGCTTTGTTTACAGGTGTACCTTAAAGCACAAGTCAGAGATCATCTATGTACTGTATGCAGCAGTTCCTCTTAGTTTGGATATTACTAGTAGTGATGTGTTAGTCCTCTCAGTGTCTCTGTGAGTGTTTTGGTGAAAGGGGGTGCTGCAGTGTTGTGGGTCTTTGGATATCTGGATGGTCAGAGCCTCCGTTTGCACTAACCCCTAGCCCTGTTTCTACACTTCTATTATACCCCTCTGTGTGTGCATGTGTGTGTCTATTTGTGTGTGTGGCACTAATATATTCAGCCCATCACTACATCTGACAGCCAGCTCCCTGCAACAACACGCAGCCATTAATGACCAGATTCTCATTGGCCGAGAGCTGCGCCTGATCATGAATATGCACACGTACAGTCAAAGCACACAGTTGAGAGGCTGTTCACATAGCTCGATGCTAATCGGGTACAGGAGTATGGTCAGTTTGAAACAGCTGATAGAAAAGTGTTCATAGATAATGAGCACTTTACAGCACATTTGGAGACGTAGAGAGTGCTTCAGATGTGGTTTAAGGAGAGGTAGTCATTTTTAAATCTATGGAAAGTGAAACGCCTCTATGTTTTATTTTGTTTTTTTGGGCTCAAGCAGATGTATTAGGGAGTCCAGATCACCAAATACTTTTTTTTGTTGCCACTTTTAAAGTAAGCGTTAAAACAATTTTGGCTTTTTTTTTTTTTAAATCATCATTGAGGATGAATGGAGAAAACAATATTTAAGAGATTTCAGTCTCCCGTTGGCTATGTGTTGAACTGTTTTGAAAAGGAGGTAGTGTTATTTTTGGTTTTTAATCTCACTTCAAGATTTCTGTCTGCCACTTTGTACTTTGTAATAAATCAGTCTCTAATGTGACAGGAAACAGTCCTGTGTGAACGCAAACTCGTCGGAAATGTGATTTTTTTTTTCGTTAAATAACAAAACCCATCTGAAGTGCAAGAGATAGTTTGACATAATAATAATAATAATAATAAAAACAAAACATTAAAATAGGAACCAATCTTTAAAATTACTTAACGTCCCTTGGTTGTTTTCCTCTTACATTGGTATATTTTTGCTGTTTTCCATTGTTCCCTCTTTATTGTATAATCAATAGATATTTGGAATAACTCCTCCCTGCCCAAAGATATCACTTTTTTTTAAAGCAGATTACAGTACACAACTTCTTCCTGTGAATGCTGAACATTTATGTGTAAAGAGCTTTCTCTTATGGATTTAAAACTTCAACAGTATCAATATAAAGTACCTATATAACAGCAGCTGTTTCAAAGATTTTTTTTCCATTTCACCTTTTGTTTTAAATCTCAGACAGAAAGGTAATTGTTGTGTTCAAATGCCTCGTGAGTGTTTATATTATTTTTTATTTTTAGGCCTGCTCACACTGTAGTCGGGCCACTCCCAGGATTGTGTTTGGAACACAGCTGAGCCTGAGTATGAGAGAGAGAGAGAGAGACGGGGCTTCATCTCTAAGTGCTTTTCTCTTTCTTCTGTGTTTCTGAGGAACTGTGCGAGGTTTGTTAATACTAGTTTTTGGCCTCATAAGTAATGTGGGTCATTCCTAACTGTCTCCAAATTGTAGTTTGCTTTACACACTTTGGTTTTTGGAATGGTCAGCACTGTAAGTCAGGTATAATTTTTCAACACAATAGTTATATGAATACAACAATAAGAATTCAAACTCCTGGTTTGTTGACTTTTGGACAGTTCTTAAAAAAATTAAATAAAAGAATAAAAAAAAAAAAACAAAGGGAAAAATGAACTACAGGGTTTTTGGTTTTCTACATATTTCTTTGGTTACCTGTAACAAAAATAAAAACGGGAATAGGCAGATAATAGATTCAAAATAAATGTTAAATTTGGTATGGCACTGTAGAGAACAGTAATGCTTTTCTGCTAATGGAAACAAAGAAATCTCACGTGCTATTCCTTTAACATAAACTCACACAGTGAATTGCAGCTAGCTTCTACACAGTAACTATTACAACCACAGAGCTTTGAATCGAAGCTGAGCAGAGTTGCCACATTTGGTGTCCCACAGAAAGAATCCCCCCTTATTTCTTTAACGATTTGGACACAGTTCCAGGCAGAACCTCTGTGGGATGAGGTATTCTCTGACTGCAATAATAATATATCTATATATAGTTTTAAAGCATCATGGATATTTCCCAACTAAATACACAACCAAAAACAAGCGAGTGAGAGATAATTAGAAGAAGAAAAAAAAAAGATTCAGCTGTTAAATAATCTGTCTGGACAACGGCAACTTTAAGTGCTATCTCCCAATTTCTTGCCTGCTACGCTGGGGACAGAAAGGGAAAGGGGCGGGATTAAAGGATCAGGTAAATTGGGACAATACTGAGCTTTTTTTTGTGTTTTTTGTTTTTTGCCAATACTCATTTGGAATGGTGTGAACAACCAGAGTAAACTAAACAACTTACAATACAAAAAACATAAACAGCATCCATAGAAAAGGTACGTCAAAACAGAACGCCACCTTGGAAATATTGATCCTCAAAAATAAACAATGATAACAACAACAAATTGAAAAAAAAAAGAAAAGAAAAAAAACCAACAAAAAATTTTTTTTCTTGTTATATTCCATAATCATGAACAGTTTCATTTTTTTTTAGTCACAATATTCCGGTAGACACTTTCTCCATCGTTTCTTACAGATTCCCCTCTTTTTTCTTCTCTTTCTCAAACGTGTTCCGTGCTCATCACTCCATCTGCAGATGGACGAGAGAAGAAGAACAGCACCAAACGGTCCTATTCCTGCAGTCTTCTGGGGGTGGGGATGTGGAATGGGAGAGGATGCAGGAGGGGCAGGGATGTGTGTTCTTTTCCCCCCCACATAGAATCAAAGAGTTTTAAAGAAGTCCCTCACTAAGTGTCTTGCTGCTGGCAGAAGTTTGGGCAGGGACCAGGGCCGGTCACACGCAGATGTGGATGCGGGTGCCTGCTCTGCAGAAGTGTTAGAGTACTGTTGGAGGTAATCTTTGTAAGTATTCTTCCTTCCTCCTCATCGAGAAGCCCAACAGTTTTAGTCTAATCGGATCAAAGGAAATGGAAAAAGCAAGTGACTGGACTAGGGCGAAGAAGGAGAGGTATACTGCACAGCCCCTGATGACCGCTCCCATCTATATACACATGATCCTCTGCGTGTGTGTGTGTGTGTGTGTACGTGTGTGTTCTTTCTAACACACACATCTAGGTGTCCTCTCAACTGACGTAGAGATAAAATAGCTAGCCAGGCAGCCCGAGACAACAGAGAGGAGTGTGTATGCAGGGTGGTAGGCCGAGGAGGAGAGAGTGTGTGTGCGCGCGCGTGTTTGTGTCTATGTCCACTCCTCTAGAGGTTCTCTACATAGAGGGCAATTTTTCCAGGGAGAATGACAAGACATGGTGTGACAAGTGAATGAGTGTGTGTGCGTGTTTGTGTGAGTGTGTATGCATTAAGTGGTGTCATACCTTTGAGCCAAGTGTTGAGAAAGCAACACATGGAGGTAAAGCAGTGCTCCACAGTCTTATTTTTGTGTCTGAAAGTAACGAAGGTCATCTAACCCTGTTGTTGTTTTTTTTTGTTTTTTTGAAGTTACTCAATGTCGTCCTTAGTTGCTTGAATTTTCTTAAAAACAAAAGAACATTCTCTTATTTTTCTCTCTTATCTGTTTTCTCATAAGTGTACTGTTGGTAATTTTTTTCCTCTTCACACAGGCGAGAAGGGCTCGGGGATTGGTCTCAAAAAGTCCCGTCCCTCCGGCTTGTCTGAGATCTGTCCTACTCCAGCTCCTCTGTGGGAAGATCCTCCTCCAGGTCACGCTCATCGCTTGGCAATGGCAGGCTGTGTGTGACACCAGCCAGGAGCGATACTGACCGGCTGTCCTCCTCCACCACTTCAGTGGGCTCTTCCTTCACATGCACTGGGTGGCTGGAAGAGAGAGCGGAAGAACAAATCATCAGATGCTGTCTTTCAGACTTTTTAAGTTTTTGAAATGCTGAAAAGAAGAAAAAATAATCTTTAAATATGCCACAAGGATTTCCTGTTTCCAGAAGTCTTGCCATGGTTTACGATAGCTTCTGGTTGCATTTATACAATTTTATTTAATGAGCTGCAATATTCCTGATACAACAACTTGCACACATTAGCACCGGGAAATGGTATATTTTGTTGCTGCTGGCTGATGTATCCTGTAAAATGTAACCAGTAGATTAGTTACTTCTGTGATTGAGGCCTCGGGAAATTTGCTTAGGTTACAATAGAACTTAAACTCTTCAGTGACACCTGTTCATTTACTTAAAGTCTACTTTTTACTTAAACCCAGGGGACAAGGTTCTCTTTAATATTGCCACTTTAAAAAAATTTTTTTTATAATTTTAAAATTTAGGCATCTACATAAAGCTCTCCTACACTAAACCAAAAATATATCTGTGTCGATACGCTTAGCATATGGACATAATATTATGGGCATCCTGTTTTACCTGGCAGCACCTGTATGTTCTGCATGTGGGAGTTTACACGTGCGCCTTTATGCACCACATACCTGTACTGTTGAGGGCTGAGCGTGGGGCTGCAACTGCCATTGCTGTTGACCTGCTCCACAGTGGAGCTGACATCATCGTGGCCCACATGCAGCATGTTGAGGCTGTGCGCAGACTGAGGGGTCACCAGGGGTGGGCTGTTCAGCAGGGACAGACTGCTTTCTGCCAGAGCCGCCTGGAAACAAGCGAGCCGTGTGGTCACTTTAAATATACAAGTTATCATGTTTGGAGAAAAAATATGTGGAGTTATAAAAGAAATGTGACAAATAGAAACATCTCTACTGATATATTTAATCTTTAATGATATTAGAGTGTTTTTATAAACCGAGCTGACATGGAGGTCTGCCTAAAATATGTAATTGGATGATAAGGAAGATTTTCCTTTCTGTACCTCTTAAAGCTCTTCTATACAGAATGCCAGTGAGCACGACAAACCACTAGGGGGCACTTACATACAGTGCTTTCCATATCAAGGTCTGTGCTTTTACATTTAAGTCCCTGTCATAAGTGCGTGTAAGTGTTGACACAAAAGTCTCAGCAGTGTTGTTAAGAGAGACTGAGCTACAACCTCAATCTAAACACACACCGCGCAGCTTCCACATCTGCAGGAGAGAGAATAGAACTAAAGAGAGCTGCCTCGGCCGCTATTCTAAATCCAGATGTTTGAAGACACAGGTTGGGGCCCTGCTTGGTATACTTACCCCACCTTCCCCTCTCACCAGAAGAAGGGGGGGGAAAAAGACAAAAGGAATTCTCAGTGGCTCAGAGGTGAGTTTTCTAGGGCAGGCGATAATTTTATGCAGTAACCTTAATTGACAACTACTTGCTGCTATAAATCATCTCGGTCTCCAAAACTGCACATGCGCATATGTGTGTGTGTCTGTGTGTGTGTGCATTTTTGATTTGTACATCTGCACTAAAACAAGGAGAAGAGGTGGGACCGGTGTGTGTTTGCATACTTGTGGCGCGCACGCGGTGATGAAGGTGGCGCGTGTGTGAAAAAGCGAGGTGGGAGGTGAGACTGTGTGTTAATGTGGGAGGAAGAAGAGGGGAGGTGGTGTGAACGTCGTTAGGGAATTGGCTAATTATAAGAGGGAATTGATATTAGTGTCCTTGATTATGACTGGCTACTAGGTGTGTGTGTGTGTGTGTGAGTGTGTGTGAAAGAGAGAGTGAAAGGTGGAGACAGAAAAAGAGATTGAGAGAAGTGGGGTGGTAGGGGGAAGGAGCCTTACCTGGTAGCTGGCATTTAGGGATCCAAAGCCGAGTCCTGAAATCATGTTTTTCACCAGAGTGGGACTTCTACAAATAAAGCGCGCGCGC